GTGAGTTTGAGACCAGCCTGGTCTACAAGAGCTAGTTCCAGGACAGGCTACAAAACCACAGAGAAACCCTGTCTCAAAAAATCAAAAAAAAAAAAAGGTAAACATATTTTTATAATTTTTAGTGGGATTAAATAATATATCTTTTCTGCTGCCCTCTGCCTACAATTTCATCCTAAGCTTCAAATATTTTCTAAAATAAATGATAAATGATCTAATACTCCATGCTTTTTTAGTTTTTATCTAAAATATTTAACAAAATACCAATCCTAGGATAGATTGCAGATCACACTACTGGAGATATCTGGCTTGCCATGTGTCCATTAATAGTAGTGTGTATCTCATTCTACAGTATGGAAATGACCGCAGGGTTTTACTCAGCTGTCTTCACACATAGATAAGACTAGAAAAGACTTGAAGTGAGACCACCAGGCTTCAATATATATTGGCATTTTTTTGTCTCTTACAGAAATAAAGGAAGAACAGAACAAAGAAGGTGACACATTTCTGGTACCACGTGTGAACCTCAAGTTATGCTCCTCAGAAAGTGCTCAAAAGATTCGGGAAAAAAATTATCCAGAGGTGCTGTGCCCAGAATCTGGGATAGAGCAACTTGAGGATACTGATGCCATTCCAAAGGGTGGTGATTCTTTGTCACAGCCATGTTCATTGCAGTGTTTCCCAGACTTGAAGAGTCACTCTACTTTACATAAAAGTTCTCTACTTCCTAGAATCTCAGGTTTATTTGAAGTTGTACAAATCTGGCCCAATTCCTTGGTATGCAATAATAGCAACAGCAAAATAAGTGCCTAACATTAGATGTTTACTATGAGTCAAGTATTACTCTGTATACCTTATATTTAAAAAAAGCTGTTAACCTTCAAAATGATCCACTTTAGAGATTAAGAAACTTATGTATGCATCAATATTATGTCTAGAATCAAGAAATCAGAGGAATTAGTTTTATAGTTTAGGGATGCCTACCTTTGTTTTTCAAAATGTCATTTTCCCAAAATTAGGAGTAGATGCTTAGAGACTACCTGGGTATTTATAAATTCCTTAGTGCTCTTGAATTAAAACTCATTCCATTTTTATTCATAATCATTTCATCACAAGGTTGATTTCTTGAAAGGATTAAGCACAGGGAATTGTGAATTATCATAAGCATAAGTAGACATAGAATTAAACAAAGCTGTTCATTGAATCTGTTCTTCTTCAGATTTATCCAATAATGGATAGGTTCACTCGTACACGTCTTGCTCTCATTATCTGCAACACAGAATTTGACCATCTTCCTAGGAGGGATGGAGCTGATATAGACCTCAGAGAAATGAGGTTGCTGCTGCAGGGTCTGGGATATACTGTGAAGGAGAAAGAAAATCTCACAGCTCTGGTAAGATTTCTCAAAATATGGAAACAGTATTCATGTTTTTCATATCCCTAGATAATGCCAGAAAACATTGTACAGTGTCAGAAAACGTACACTCTTGCTAGTTTGTAATGATGATATCGTTTTGCGAGGAATCACTAAATATTACATATGCCTGCCAATAATTACAATGCTTTAGCCAAAGTCTCCTGTAACATCCAATTGGAAAATATTTCAACCAGTTCAGTGATCTCAGGATGACTTCGTATAATCTTTATAGTTCGATTTTCTTAAAATTGAGAATTAGAAAGTTTCTTTTCCATGTCACTATTTTTATGGAATTATTCAAGAACCCCTTGGACTGCTTAAAATGTAATCCCACAGTAGAAAGGTAGTTCATTGAAAATCACTGGTCTGCTTTCTTACAGGCGATGACTAATGCAGTAAAGGAATTTGCTGACCGCCCAGAGCACACGACTTCTGACAGTACTTTCCTTGTATTCATGTCCCACGGTATCCAGGAAGGAATATGTGGCAAATCACACTCTGATAAAGAAGCAGATATTTTAAAACTAGATACTATTTTTGTAATGATGAACACATTGAAGTGTCCAAGCCTGAAAGACAAGCCCAAAGTTATCATCATTCAGGCCTGCCGTGGGGGTGAGCGCAGATGATGATTTAAATAACAGGACGCTCACAGTCTGACTTTGCAATTTATATACAGACAGCACTTGCCAGTTTTTCGTGTTTGATGTCCAAATATCAAACATCTTTTATTACTCGGTTAATTATGCACTTTGTAGATTGTATTTCAAATTAGTAGATACTTGCTTCCTTTTCCACTAGAGAATATCACTATCAGCAATCATAAATACATATTGATATTTGGGTGTTATTAGAATCTATTTAAAAACTAAAAGAGAAAAGAATGATAGAAACATGGCCTATAACAAATGTTGTATACATATGTATATATTTACATATATATTCACACTCACATATATATGCATGTGTATGTATTCATATTCATAGAATAATAATTTTACAAATAGAGTTTAATAAAATTTTAAGGAAACAATAATTCCCTTGAAAATTGTTAGTAACATAAAACCAATTTTGTCTTTCCAGAGAACAGAGGAGTGGTGCTGGTAAAAGATTCAGTAGGAGACACTGGAAAGAAATTCTTAGTGGATGCGGATTTGGAAGATGACGGCATTAAGAAAGCCCACATAGAAAAGGATTTTATCACTTTCTGCTCTTCAACACCAAGTAAAGATTTTTTATGCATATGAACTTTGTCAGGTTTACTGCTAGAAAGAGGAACACCATATTTAGTATTACATAACACATTTAATGCCCACTTAAAAACTTCATAGTCAACCCCCCTTCCACACAGACAAAATATACATACAATGTTTGATGAATTAGTAATATCTTCCATGATGCATGATTTTTTCCTAGAACTATGAAGGATAACAGAAAAATAAACAGATGAATATGAACTCTAAAGTTCATTAGAATCTGAAAGTTTCACATCATTGGGCTTAGTCAAGACACCAGTGTGCATCAAGTATTTCCAGAATCTTGATGACTGAGGCATGGAGACAGAAAAACTGAGCACAGGACCTCAAATCCTCAGAGTTCAAGTTGCTCAAGTACCTGAAATTCCAATGTTGATATGAGTAGTGGGGAAGGTGGGCACAGGACACCCTCCTGAAAGCACTCAGACCAGCTACCCTACGCTACATATTCGAGGCTATATAATAGGCTTAATGTGAGAGGGTTTTATACATGAAAGCAGATATTCATAAATAATTCTACATCCTGACACTTCCATTTGTATCATCTTATATTAAGTCTGTTTGTTTCATCTTGCTGAGATTTCTTTGAATTTCTCACCAATATTTGCAAATATATTGCCATTGTAGCAAGGACTGAATAAGATGATAAGTGTGAAATATTGAACTACTCCTGAAAAATCTAGCATTAAGTTTTCCTGTTATCAAGGTTTTAATTTCTAATCCTACTCATTACTTACTATGTTAAGGCTTAAATAAAACTCATTTGAGCCTTTCATTTCCTAAATTTTGCATTTCTAGAAACCTATATTTTTTTACTGAACACCCTTAAGGCTCTGCCTCTGATCAAATGGATTACAGACTATATTATTGACTATGGGTCACAACCTCCAGATATAATCCACTCCTACACTGGGAGTGTACCAAGCCCAATTTATATCTCCCTACATCATTTTCTAATGATAAAATATCATGGATATTGATAGATTGTGGGATCATAGGACTTTGCTGAACTATTGGTTACTTATAAATTCAGGCAGATGGAGAAGCATCTCTGGAAATATACCAAGTAGTAAACCACTGATACCCCACTGCATTGTATTATACCATTTTTATGCAGACAGACCTGATATAGGCAGTGAATCATTAAAATTGCAAAATGACTCAAAATGATGAGAAAGAGACATATAAGGGGGAGGTACTTATTTATGCATGGGAGGGAGATAATGAGAGAGCAAGACATAAACAAATCAGATGCTTTCTATGTATTGAAGAAATTGCCAAAGAACAAGTGTATTTAGTTTTAAAATACCTTAGCAATACTCCCACAAGTTTCCAGCTTAAGAATACAGTCCACTTTGTTATTAGATTTAACTGTTCATTTAAATCATTTCTTTTCATTTTGTACCATACATCCTCTGTAGTTATAGAGTCTCTTCAAGCCTTTCCATACTTGCCATCTGACCTGCTGGTTTCTGTATCTCTTTCTTTTGCTGTCTTCACTATTCTCTGTAAATGGTTCAGACTATAAAAATTTTGTACACCAGTTACTATACCTAGATGAAATTTGTCAGTGTAAACCCCAATCACATTGTAGGGCCTTTGGGAAAAGAATCTGGTCTTAATTGGACTATTATGGAAATAATCTGGCCTTTTACTCTCTTCACTGTCAAAGTACTTGCAGAGATACCTGTTTCCTTTACCTAGCTCAGATATTTGTGGTTTGATTATCTATTGCTCAAATATCTCTGTTTTGGTAAAAAACAAATAATTACTGAAAACTTCTAATTAAGAACATTGCATTTTAAAATGTACAACAGTCTTGAATCAGACCATCTTGAAACAGAGCATCTTGGACAAAAATACTCAGATACTTATTCTCCAAAACTTATCACTCCCTTACTCCAGGGCCTGGCTCAGTATTAGTTTTCACCTCCTTAATATCAGGAACTCTACCATTTGAAAATCTGCATGGTATATAGCAACCACCTTGAAAAAGAGAGAAATGGCAGACAGTTTATAGGATACAATATGGACACTATATAAAGTGTCCAGTTAAGAGTGGAAATGCTATAGAGGGCTATATTTAGAGTAAGGTCTGTCATAAGATTTTGAATATACATTATTCACAGATAATGTTTCTTGGAGACACCCTACCAAGGGCTCTATTTTCATTATGGAACTCATCAAACACATGGAAGAATATGCTTGCTCTTGTGACTTGGAGGATATTTTCAGAAAGGTAGGACTTGAATGCTTTCTCAACTCTACTTCTGTGGTCTTGGGCTGCTGCCAGTAGGGAAGCTCTGGACATATTTGTCTTGTAATAATGTCATTCTTTCCAAAGAGTTTTGTATTACTATTATTAGTTTTTTGATTAGTCAACAATCCCTACATGGTGCCACTGTTTTATGCTCACAAGCCTTAAGAAATAATCATTTATATTAACCGCTATCCTGTCCTTAGTAGAAAATGGAAGAGAATTTAATACCCCTGTATCCATTATATTTGTCAATTCCAGCAAAAGCACTTAAAACTCATCTGGGAGACTACTCTGATAACTGTGATTCTTACAAATGCCTTGAGTTATTGTTTCTTGTCATTATAGTCACGGTAGTTTTTTTTTTTTTTTTTTTTCCATCTCAAGTCAAGATTCTAGTCTCTGAGAATAATGCCTGTAAATCTCCTTTTCTCTTTTAGGTTCGATTTTCATTTGATCAACCAGGATTTAGTTTACAGATGCCCACCACTGAAAGGGTGACTTTGACAAAACGTTTCTACCTTTTCCCAGGACAATAAAATAAGTATGCTGTACCAGTGTCTTTGTACATTTCTCTCCTCTCCTCTCCTCTCCTCTCCTCTCCTCTCCTCTCCTCTCCTCTCCTCTCCTCTCCTCTCCTCTCCTCCCCTCCTCTCCTCTCCTTTTCCCTTCTCTCCCTCTCTCTTTCCTGTCTTCTCTCTCTGTGTGTGTGTGTGTGTGTGTGTGTGTACTGTAAACAGAGACTGTCCTCTCATTTTCCAGCCACCCAGACTTGAATAATCACACAAAAACTATATTAATTACAACACTGTTTGACCAATGTCTTAGGTGTATTCCTAGCTAGCTCTTGCATCTTAATTGAACCCATTTCTATTAATCTGTGTATCACCACATAAATGTGGCTTACTGGTAAGGTTCTGGCATCTTTCTCTTTTAGCAGTTTCATGGCGTCTGCCTGACTCCACCTTCTTTCCTCCTCTATCTTTGCTGGGACTTCCCACCATGCTATATTCTTCCCTGCCACAGGCCAAAGCAGCTTCTTTATTAAAAATGGTAATAAAATGTATTCACAGCATACAGAGGGGAATCCCACATCAGTGTACATTATGGAAAGTGTGTGTAAAGACAACTGAAGAGTATATAACTGATTGTCATTCAGGTTTCTAGGTCTGTCATAATTTGGGGGAAAGCAGGGAAACACCAAAGCGATGCCTCGTTTTCAGTTTTCTATAAAATGTGTTGTTCTTAGCATTCCCAGATTTGGATGGTCCTTTCTCGGGGTGGGTTATTATGGACCCAAATTTTGAGATGTCTGTATTCTATATGTGTAGATTTCATCTCAGTAGGGCAGCACTTAAACAATCCTTAGGCTTTTCTCTGTTGTGAGTGTATATGTTGAATTTTATGTTTATATTAGAATCTGCATGAGCCTCAACTGAATACTTATGTTTGTGTAATTTCCCTTTCCCATAGGAGCCAAGATTTCCATCATTCTGTACCTCTTTGGGGAATCATGTCAATCAGAAGCAACATTTCTCTAAATGATGCAATAAATTTCAAACAAAACTGAAAGGCTATCCTGTTGTTATTGCTGTTGCTATTGGCTTTTCCTTTATTTGAGTAAATGCTCAGAACGTAAAAAAAGAAATTTATGTCTTTTTTATTGAATTTAGTCTTTTAAAATGCATTTTAATTACTATAACTCATACACTCTTTAATATCCTTCTATCCCTATAATTACTCTCCTCTCTACAATTTCCTTTCACAGACCCATGTATCTTGCTTTTGAAACTCACTGAGTTTAACTAGGATCATCAGTAAAAACCATGTGAAGGGACTCTCCACCGGAGCCTGGTAGATACCTTAGTGGATACATAACTGCAGACAGGTAACTGCCAATCTCCCAGAATCCCTCAGTAACCAGAGTGTCAACAGAGTTCTTAGACTTGGTTCTTAAGGCTTAACTGGCTTGGAAACATTATTTAGTTTAAGATATCCATTTGTTTGTCTTTTTCTACACATTCATAAAATTTATATCTTCACCACAGGTATCTGAATTGCATAAATTTAGATCTCAGCAGAAGGAGTGTAGATAAGAGAACTGGAATAGTGACAGTCAAAATGATAAATGACATCTCAAAATTAAGTGGGTACTACCACTGAAACTTTGACCAGAACCCAACACTTTGTATGTGCTGTTATACTTAATGGCTTCAAGGAAAATATTGAATCAGCTCAAAACTTTAAAATTTCACACTCTCACTGATTAGATAACCAATCAGCACTCCTAAAAAATATGGGACAATTAGAAGACACAAATGACACTAAACAGGTGGTCGGTTGTGGCATCACTTTAACCCTTATTCAACAGCACTGGTAAGAAGTAGGAAGAGCTGTGAGAAGGGTGCATGCCCCTTTCTTACCCACCCTGTGTAGCCTCCAAGTTGATCATATCACAACCTTATTCTTTTGTCCATTCTCTTGCCATGTCCCTGGAAACATCTTTGCTGAGATCATGTAATCAATGCCTGAGACTGCTTATATTAACAAGGAACAGTCTTTGTCCAGAGTATACCATGAAAAGTGGTAATCAGTCACTCAGCAAAAACTTATACATAAGACACTCTTGTACAATTAATGAAATGCATTCAGAAAGGGCAAAAGGGCTGCTCTGAACTGTATCTAATAAAAGACTAAGACTTTAGGAGTGCATACACATTCATGATTAACACATTTAAAAGAAAACAAGAAAATTGATTAATTCTCCACTGGAAATGAGACTGCTTAATTTCACTGACTTAGGACTTTAGCTTTAGAGAGCAGAAGCAGAGATACTGGTAAGTCAGAGGAAGAATCAGCACTGGCCATTAGTTACTGGGATCATGGAGAATGGAAAAAATACAAAGTGAAAACCTCTCAGAGGGTGGAATCTGCAGAACAGTATTTGATTTACATTTTTGTTGTTTATCTGTTTGGTATTTTTTCCCAAGAGGAAGGACAAGAATTCAGGAAGAGGTTGGAAGTTTATCATTTCTAGGGACTTCCACTTTGAGACTTCTTGGGCAGTATTTTCACAAGTCCCCACCTCCCTGTACTAAGGAAATAAACACCTAGCAACTTTCATTTACAGTATGAAGCAGTCTGCACTGTACAAAAGAATCAAAGCCCTTCCTGAGTGGGGATTAGGACGTGAATAGTAGAAATTTCTTCTTCCATAGCTCTGAGACAGACAGAGATAACAGAAAGGAAGCAGAGCAATGATGTAGAAGCCAGATTCCCACCTCCCCGGTTTCTGTGAAACCAAAAACTAGTGTGTATCAGGAATCATAGAGATGATGAGATAGCTGTAGCTTTGAACCACAAACAAGTTGATCCCTTATTTTCTCTTTCTGGAAATGAAGAAGGGTAAGACAGAAAACACACATGTGAGACAACTCTAGAAGTCTGTATTAAACTCTGATATTGTCTTGTTTTCCTGGGGTGCTGAATTCGTCCTTTTATAAACACATTGGAGCATATTTGATGCCACCACTCATTTTCCATCTCTAGAGTAACTCTCTTATTTCATTAAAAATGATCCCAATTTCTTGCTAGCTCTCTTCTTCTAAAAACAACTCTGATGAAGCTCATCCTTAGATTCATACCATGGTGTTTTGACTCCTGTCCCCCATTGCAGCACTTAGCCTTCTGTTCCATCCTTGGCATTGCTTTCAAATAACCCACCCATCTTACACTTAAAAGTTGAAAAGGGATGGGGTCAGAAATCACTGGATATTTTGGTAGCTAGTATTCAAATGCATCTTCTCATTCATTTGGCTATATTCTCTACATGTTAATTTGAAGTAGATGGACAATGTAATTTCTAAATCTTATAGTTAAATAACATATACCATTGAGAAGTTCTCAGTTCCCTATTCTGCCCTAACCTTGAAGCCACATCATAAAAAGACTTAGAGCATCTGGGGACAACTTTGCAGTTGCTTTAGAACTGACTTATACATGGATTCTATGTTTAGGATTTTCAGTAAGTTTGTTCTCCATTTTGATGTTCTAGGTATCTGTTAATACAGTTTCTTATTAAGGAACCCACATGACTAATTATTATCTTTTAATAAATACACATAAATACAGAGGTAGATCAATGATGCACATATGGCTATGATCTCAACACTTTGATAGAGTTTCCTACTTTGCATAGTCTCTTTAAATTGTGGTTTCAACCTTATGGAAAACCATAAGGTTTTTCCTGTCTTTACCAGTCACAGTTCCCTTTTACTGGTTTTTCTACTCCTCAGATCCTCTTTGGAGTGTAATTCTTTCTGTGTGCTCTATGTCTCTTCTTGCAATATTTAACCTAAGCTCCAGGGTCGGCTTGTCTCTCATGTTGTTGAGGACATGGGTAAGGTTAGGTGATAGAGTTTTCTTGGAGCATACAGCATACACCTGCTCACTCCAGAGAGGGAACCCACAAAGACCAAAGTAACAAATACACCAACGTCAAACTTGGTGACTTTGAGTTTTTATTTACAAGAAGTTTACTTAAGAGAAGCAGGGATGACTTCAAAACAGTGGCCCTGCCACAAAGCCCACATCATTACAGTAATGACTCATGGAGTCAGCAACTCAGGAGTCTGCTCTGCCTGGGGAAACTGCAGGATGAAAAGCCTTCTCTCCTCCTGGGCACAGGCTCCTCTTCTAGCAGGTGGTTATTGTTTTTATGCTGCAGGAAGCTTTTGAGAAGCTTCTACATTTTCATGCTCTCAGATATGTGACCTTTTGTCTATTCACCATGAGCCGCCCCATCCTTTCCAGATGAAATATTCCAATTAAGAGTAAAACTTCCTTATGGCAGATGGCACAGTCACTAAGTTAAATTCACACCTGTAGTTGCCTCTTAACCAGGCATGTAATCTTTATATTGGTTATGTAATTTGAGTAACAGAACCAAAAACTACGGAGAAACCCTGTCTCAAAAAATTCAAAAAAAAAAAAAAAAGAATACTTAGATAATAAGAATGAGAAATTAGCTGATATTGGACAAAACTAAGTATAGTTTGCTTATAAATACAGACACTTGTAACATTTTTTTTTATTGCCTGGTACTGAAATAAAGACTAGATAAGGTTCATCTTCTAATTTTCTCTTTAATTTTTTTTAATCAATGTAAACCCACCTAAGCAATATCTATGGTACCATCAAATAGTCCACGATTATGGGTTTGAAATATTTAATGTTCTCTGTCTCTATGTTTAAAGTTATATGAGTATATATTTGTGTTACCATTGCTGTTTTATGATTAATGAAAGTGGCATAGACTAGTTTAGGTACAGTATCCTTTGAGAGAATGATCTGAGTTTGGTCTTGTTTACACACTCAGGAACCTGACATTACATTATATTTCTATACAAGTCTTCAAGGAATTGCTTGCATCTGACCATTGCTTTTTCTGCTTTTGTTGCACACTTTCACACAAAGTATACTCCTTTCTAAGGCTCACACCTCCAGATTATGAACTACACCAGACATTGTCAAATACCAAAACCTTGTTAAAAGAGGAAGGTTGTGGAGAGGGAAGGGTCCCACAAACCATTCAGATGTCAAATCCGTACATCACCTCCTGCCAGAATATGTCTTCTAATGGGTGAATGCTTTTAAAAATGATTTTTTTGTATACATATCAACCATTTAAAGCATTATAGTGTTATAACAATCTATATTTTCTCTATAAGCATTGCTATACAGGGACACATTTTCAAAATGACATTCCCAAAGCTAATAAACTATCTTTTACAAAGAAATATTCAATAAATGTTGTTTATTGAAAGGAAGGATCACTGCACTTCCCTTCAACCGGAAATCTTCCAATGTGCTATACTGTAGTAAGAGCTGCGGGCCTCTTCCCACAGCCCGGCTTCTGAGTGCCTGGCTAGTTTATACCCCGAAATAACAACACACAAACTGTATTCATTTAAACACTGCCTGGCCCATTTCTATTATTGTGTGTAGCACCGAGGTGTGCTTACAGGGAAGATTCTAGCCTACGACCATGCTGGGTTAGAGCTTCATCACTTCTGCCCTGCAGAGCGGTGGCATGGCGTCTGTTTGAGGCATCTTACCTCACTTCCTCTTCCTCCCAGCATTCTATTCTGTTTACTTCACCTACCCATGTTCTAACCTATCAGAGCCAAGCAGTTTCTTTATTAATTAACCAATGACCTTCCTCCATCACTTTACTTCTTGTTTAGTAAGTAAAACCTACCTCATTATTAAAATATGCTTAGAGTTGAGTAAGTCCTATATAGTGTTTGTTCATACATTTAGTGACCAAGTGAATTATAGAGAATTGCTGATGACCACCTTACTACCAGAAGTAATGGAAACTAATTGATGACATGGGCTTCCCTGAGCTTAGCATCTAATGATGAAATACTAATTTGTAGGCTGGAATCATATTATGGAGCAAAAACGCCAGATTAGGGAGAAGCAGGTATCTTAGGAAGAAATACCTTTGACATTTAGACAAGGTTGAAAACAACAAGGGAATTTATCAAATTTAGTGTTAGCTAAGCTGA